GCCTTCACAGAAGAGGAGTATGCGTTCAACCAACATGCCCCCCCCCTTTGTGACCTACAGGTGGAGATGGAGAAGACCCACTTGATTCGATTTGCGAGGCCTAAAGACAACGGCAGAAACTCAGAGATACTGAGAAGCCAGAAGACAACCAATGAGCTACTGTTATCTATCCTTAAGCGTATATATATATATATATGTTCCTTCCCTCCCTTGAGAGGGTCGTAGGCAACTAAGGGGCTGATGATAATCATCATAAAGCCTGCCATTTCATATAACAATAATAATATTGGTGGCTTCAAATCCTGGCACACTAGCAAGACGGGAAAATGCAACTTGTATCGGCAACATCGCTAAATTTTGAGAGCTCAGCAAACTCTTTCACCCTTCCAATGCCTTGATTTTTATGCACCTAATGTTGGAATACCAGTGGCTTAAATATATTATTTGTTCCGTAGGCTTCAGATATTGAAAGAAGCTAATTTCCACCACAAAATGAGGATTTATTCTTAAATTATGACACTGGAAGAATAGAGTATGAAGGAATGGACACAGCCCAAGAAATTGAAGGAGGGAAACCCCGAATTCTTAGAGTCTTTTGGTGCACTGACGCCAATGTAGGCTTCTATTTGAGATCCCGTGCACCACTGCGTTGTTTTTACTTCTTTCAGTGTTGTTCACAGCGCGAAAGAATGAACTTGTATCCCATACCCAGAAAATTCAACCAACTCGGAGAATGAAAATCACTCTGTGGAAGATCTTCGAAAGATACCTTCCATCTAAAATGGTCATAATAACCTCATCATTTTTGCTTCAACACTGTTCGAGACAAGATTCTAGGCAGTTAATGGTGAAAATGGATAAATACTTCTTAAGTAAATTCATTTCTAGATGTCCAAGTTAATTTTAAATCAATTTCGAGGAATGTTGGATGAATCACACAGAGTTAAAGGGGTAACGGTTGTTTTAATATGGCTAACCACTTTCAAACTACGAAGGCGATTGTGAAACACTGAAAATTTCACAATTCCTCCCAAACAAATAATTTTTTTACATAATAAGGCAAAAATGTGTGTGTTTTAAGAATGAAAAGACGCCTACACTATCTTCTAGCTGATATGTCTACCAGAAGGAGAAATCAAATTACGATTCAGTTAAAACTATATATGGAAGTGCTTTTGCAGAGGATAGCTGAACAAAGAATCACGTGGGCTCCCGAACTTTTGAGAACGTGCGGTCGTGCTGCTGATCGCGTTAGGTAGCACTGCGGTCGTAAGCGCTGAGCCCTCTCATCCAATCAGCAATCAATATCCACTGCATGGTTTTTGTAGCCAAAGTTATACTTTTCTGACTAACCACAATAAATAGGGTAGGAAGGGGGGGGAGTGAGGGAAAGGACAATGTATGACCGTGTTAACGTATATGAGTGTCGGGTGTGTGATAGACTTACCTCCACGTGGTGCACCCTGGCCAACGTATACTCATACGGCAAAAAAAGTCTATTAACTGGCAATTGAGTTCAAACTAACATGACCCCACTGTATTCGACTACTTTTACAGTACTCAGCCCACCTTTTTCCACCTTATCTACCTTCGTCTTTGATACCCTCTTCGGTTCCCTCTCCTCTTGAATTTTTTACACTTTGATGTTCATTCCCCTCCGTGCAGTCTGAAGTCAACTAAAGGGCAAATGATAACTATCAAAACGCCTGCCATTTGATGCAATAACGTATATGAGTGTAAAAGCTAGTGCCTTTAATTGATTAGTTTTAAATGAAGCAAGACAATTATAGAGGAAAATGTGGATAGGTGATGACGTTAGAAATGACAGCTAGGAGTGGAGTCATAGAGACACAAAGACTTTTCAGTTGCTTTGTCGACAAAAAAATAGTACCATCATGATAAATGTGCTCAAAGGATAATTTTGCAAAACGCTTAGAGAGCCATCTTGTATTCTCAACTTAGGCTAAATAAACTATGATTTCAGCCCACGAGTCTTTTTTACCCCAAACCCTCTCCAGGTTCTATCAAAATGATTTCTTGTTCAATATTTCACTATTTAAAGGTGCAATTTCGAAAAATTCCACTTCTACGGTGAAAAACCGTCAAATAATAACCCCGTCAGATCCACAAGTTCAGTGCCGACCAAGGTACTGTTTCAAAATGTGTAAGAGTCGCATTTAATTAGCTCAGACTGGCAATGGTATTCCGAGGACATGGGGTTCGCCTGGTAGCGATAAGAGCAAGACAGGAGACGATAAAGACAATCCGACTGTGTGGAAAACCGTGCCAATTGACCATTCGTGTGCTTAACCACTTGTCCAATAGGCGATTTTACAATAATATCATCACAAGGAAATGTTCTGCCGTTTCCACACTATTTTACTAACTAGAGCTCTAGATTACTTCTCTGTCTAGAGTCAGGGCTGTGAAGTGCCAAACACCGCCATGACTGAGCAAAGAAATCTAATGTACACTCAGACGATCTCGAAGGTGCGGCCGTGCAACTTGTCACACAGGGAGCAGAGACCGCTCAGCCAGCCACAAATCGATAGTCCCCAAACTGTTCAACAAAACCTTCAAAGTATTTTATTGACTAGCTTTGCGATTGACACACGGCTCAAATAAACTTGTTTCACACCGTGTGTCCGTTTCTTCAATAATGTTGAGGGGGTCTTACCATGGAGATTGCTGAGGATAAGTCGACCCTTGTAGGTGCAGCAATCCGCTGCAGGGTTATTTTATTAGTTAGATCTCCAAAGTGGTCTGCAAGAATGAGTCATTAATTAGTAAATTGATCAAATGCAAAAAATAACTCATTTTAACCGAAATGCATGAAGTTGTGAAAATCACCGCATTTTTCAAATTTTGGCATTTATCGGGTTCTTAATTTCAAGTTAATAAATGCTCGAAATACTTATGTGTCTTCTTTCCAAGGTCCATGAAGGAAAAATTTTATAAAGGATATTATTTAATGCAAGACAAAAAAAGTTAACATCAATAACCGTCCGTGACAGACTCTCAATATGGTTTAATATTAATGTTAAGCATCTATTTGTTTTGTTTTAGGTCTATGATCGACCAATTGCCTCGGATTTCGCTCAGTTTTCATGACGGTTACTCAACCTGTAATTAGCCTACGCTCGTATTTGGAGTTCATATGATTTGCATAGTTAGCTAACTAAAGAAAGCTGTTAGAAGTCTCTTTAATTTTTCGGCATTTTTTTCTAGAAGAATAAAATAATTATATCTAATGCCTTCTAAATTTAATTACCTCTCACGTGTGACCTATTCTATTTATATTTCTCAGGTGAGCCGATGAATGCAAAGAATATGTAGAACCCCAAGATAAAATTAGGAGATTTAGCGAAATGAGTGTGGGAGGGGGTTAGATAAAGTGGGTGGATATTTGAATAGAAAAAGAAAAAAACAGGAAAGCATTGGCCCACTGATATTGTGAATATAATATGTAGTAATGTGTGGCATTCGGCACCAGATATTATAAATGGGACAAAAATAAATAAAACAAGGAATAAGACATGCACTGAAAAGTTGAAAGAGGTGGAAATATAGTTTGCGCTTGCATACAAATGTGAGATATCAGTTAGTATCTAACAGGATTATCGAACTTAAATAGTATGATAAAATCATATTCAACGGCTGGATTATAGATATCGTGACGAGAAGCATAATTATAAATTAAGAGTTTGGCTAATTTTATAGTTATTTCGATTTAAAAACTGTTCATTTATTTGCACAAATAATGTTTACGAAGTGCTTTCAAGAATCAACCACTACCTCAGTGTAATAAGTTTAATGATTGGCTGTTTTAGTTACATGCAATAGTTATTGAAAATGACAAAAAGGCGTTAATATACTCTTTACAATTCAAGAATATATTTTTGATGTGTGATAATTCCATTTTCTGCTCATTTTAAAATATTCGGTGTAAAATATTAAAATAGGAGGAAGTATAAAGTTTCTACGGACTTCGTCTGATAGATACTTATAAGCAAACAATTTGATCTAATTTATTTTAATGAATCCAAGCCATAATTTGCAGGCATAGGTCATTTAAATCGCAGCAATTTAATTGGTTGACATTGTGTTGTCTTTTGGACATTGAGCTTGTCCTTTGCGTCCACTTGCTTTAGTTCTTGGGGGCGCTTGCTAAATCTCGAGCGATTTATTAATATTTTGAATATTAATTGACTTAAGAGTTTCAATTGTACATATTCAATCTTCAAAATTTACACTTGTCGCTTATGCCCCAAAATGATGATCAGCGAACCAGATCACTCCACAACAAACAGCTTTGCTGCACTAACGGTCACGCAATCTCAAATTTCTGTTAATCGTACCTCCATTCCCTACTATCGAATCCATCCGGGTCGGAATAGGTTCGGCTGTGGTGGACATTGTGTACTTAGTCGTCGACTTTGTTTATTTTACGTTACGCTTTTTCTTCTCTTCTCTATTAGTGGAGTCTTTTTTGCTTTCGATGCTCGATACCTCTCAGTAACTCTGAGTCCTGCCGTTCCTGCTGTGGGTGCTGTACTTTTTATTTTTACTTTCTGCGTTTTACTTCGAGTCAGTTGCTCGGACCCTGGAATTCTACCCCGTGCTACGCCTGCTGAAGTTTTGGTCTTTGAAGGTCAGCTTTGAAATCTTTCTATATTTCATTATGAGAAGTATTTAAATAAAATCAATCAGCCACTCTGTCAAGTCTCGTGAGTATTTTTTGCTCATTGATCCGTATCTTGAATTCGTTTACGTCGCATTTTTGACCCGGTTTAAGCGCTTACTTACACCTAACTATTTAATCTTTTTTACAAAATTGTTTTTTCTCTGACGTTTTTTACTTCAACTCCTATATTAACAATGCTGATATATATCGAGTTATTTGCTGAGTTGACTTTTCCAATTGTTTTGATTTAACTATACCATATACTACTTAATCATATTTGATTAAAATGTCTTTAAAGTTTTTTTCTTGCAATCGGGTCCTCTTTATGATTCTGAGGTAACATTCATTGACTTAATAGTTTTTATAGAATCCTTTATTGGTCTAAAATTGAGTTGATTTCTTTCTAACAACTTGTAAAATTGATTTGGCTTAATTCAAATATTCTTGACGTCTTCGCATTTTGAATTCGATTTCAGCGCTCAATACTACACAATAAGTCACAGATTGCTGTGTACTTTTAATGTTAATTCACAAGTAATTAAAAGACAAAACCTTGACCTTATTAAGGAAAGTTTTCATGACACTCGCATTCTTCCTCCACTTCCTATGGGCCCTATTTCACAAGTGTAGTTGACAGTTTCACTCACTAGATGTGCACTGATCTTCATTGATCGCTGTTGAATCTCAATTCTCGGTTAATTACCAGTGCGGTTAGTGTTCACATCCATTTTAGTCTTAATTTCTCTTTTTTTCTTGTCATGATTGTCTAAATTCACCACAATAACTTTCTAATCTTGCCAAATAGGAATTTATTCATTTATCTAGTATAATCGCAATTAATATATTTATTATAATAAAAGGAAGTGGTTGACATCCCTTCCTCATAGCCTTATCGGACTGAAGTCGAATTATTTAGCGTTTTTTTCCCCCAATGGAAGGTGAGTAACTTGTAGTGTCTTATTTCATTGGTTTTTAGCATGAAACGTTATTGGTCGAATGAGCTTTTTTGGGCTGAAATAACCAAATTGGAGTGATTGGTTTTAATCTTGACTCCCTCGTGCTGTAGTGTTATTAAACAACCTGAATATTATCAAGTGCTTCCATCGATCTGGTATATTAGCGCATCTAACCCTCCAGAGGCCCACCCTTCTCTTCATATGCCTTGTTTACTTCACTGAATTTTATTGCCTTTTATCTTTTTTTGGCAAAATAACTAATTCGAGGCATAGTTTCCTCTTTATGGTTGTGCTTATGGTTGCTTTGACTCGGTAATTTTATTGGCAGTTCACAATTCAATTTCTTAACCGGGATTAGAAAGTTCATTCGATCGATAAAATTAGTGAAAATGTGTATCGAAGAGGCGAGTTTGGCAGGTGCCTGTGTAGATGTTAGTTACATTAAAATTCCTCGCCTAGGATTGAGTATTGATTTATCACATCTCTATTTGTTTGAAGTAAGTTGTATTTATTAAGCTCACTTTAACCTTGGTTTTTTTTAAAATCTAGTTTGTTAGTTGAGATCTGGAATCTTGCTATTTCCTAGTTGACGTCAGTTTCATCTTTACACAAAATTGGCGTCGCTTAGATTTGAAAGATGAAAGGGAGGGCTGGACTGAGATGTAGGCGAATATTCAAATTCATCTGAAGTGCAAAGGAGGTTTTTCTGACCCACAACAACTCTGAATTGGCACTGTGGCATTTCTGTTTAATTAGGTGGGTTGTGGAATCGATTCGTCCTATAGGCAACATTTTTCATCATTCTAGAGAAACCGTCGCCTTGCGAATAATCATAGCCTAGGTCACACTTACACGTAGATTTTTCTTATTGAAGGAAGAACTCTTAAAGATTGATTTGTTTTAATTCATTAAATTCGATATTGCTTTGACAGTATTGTGCATGTGAATCTCTAACTCCGCTTTTATGCAGATGGGTTTCAATACTTTCTATTTTCTACATCTTATTGTTTATTTATTTCAAGTGGCAGGTGTTCTAATAGTTATCATCAACTCTTTAACTGACATCGGGCTTCACATAGTGGAGTAACTTCAGAGTGAGAAAAAGTGGAGGGGGAGGGGGGGACAGAAGAGTGATTCATAGATGTAAAAGAGACAGAAAGGCACAAAGGTAGAGAAAAAGTAAGATGAATACTGTTGAAGTGGTGGAATATGACATACAGTGGGGTCATGGTAGTTTGAAGTCAGAAGTCAACTTCCGAATAATAGATTTTTTGCCTATTCATCTACAATGAAAGCATTAAACTGATTATAATAACTCAGATTACATCTTCCACCATACCTTATTTCCTAGTATGTTTATGTCAATACTGCCTCAAATGCATACGTGGGTGGATGAGGGGAGTGGGGAGGTGGTATCCCATTTCAATTAGTCCTAGTCTAGATATACCACCACGAGATTGCCAATTTCTCCCAACTCCAAAATGTGGTGCCTTTAATAATTTTGGCAATATTCCTATTTCTCTGTATTAATCTCTTAGTCATATTTTTGATTATTAGTGACTATGTGGGGTGGTTCATTCCATAATGGAAGAATTAGGTCAGGTAACTGACACGGGGAAAAGAGATTGAAGGTGATTGAAAAGCCGGTCTGATTCACTGACCCTGATATTCGCATCAAGCCTGTGTTCTCGACCTGCTATCAATCCATTTTAATGACTGTTGATTGACACCTTCATGATCGATCTAGATTTTTATGACCTATTTTTTCACCTCTTAGAGGAACTGGCAAATCAGCCTGACCGTCCATCCCAACCCTCCACAATTCCAAGTAAAGAGATTCAAATTTGTGGGGTACCGTACAATCAAGTCTACTGCCACACCTGCCGCTTATATCGACCTCCCAGAACTTCCCATTGTTCAGTCTGTGATAATTGCATTGGTGAGTTGCCTACTCATACATTCAGTAGTATATTCTACCGATGCTCTGAATTTGGCGGCATGGCCTCTAATAGTGCTTGAGATTATCTTGTGTCTTTAGAGGGTTTCTTTTTTTCTTTTTACCATATTCCCATTTTCTTGATTGTTGTAGAGGGCTCCTGTTACCCACCATGTGTTTATATTTTTTTTGACGGCTGATTGGTAGAGTTAAATTGTATTTATTTATATAAAATGGATAGCGTTTTGATATACATCATTAGAACTTAAGTTGACTTTAAGCTTCACAGAGGGGAAGGAACGAAAAAGTGAAAAAAAATCGTGCTTGGAGGGGGAGGGGGGACAGAAGAGTGTTTCACAGATCTAAAAGAGACAGAAAGATACAAAGGCAGAGAAAAGGTAAGATGAGTACTGTGGAAGTGGCCGAATATGAAATACAGTGGGGGTGATAGTAGTTTGAAGTCTGAAGTCAACTGCCGGTCAATAGACTTTTTTTGACGCATGAGTATACGTTTGCTCAGGGTGCACCACTTGGAGGTAAGTCTAGCACACACCCCGAGTTAAATTGTGCGTTAATGTCATTTACACTTTTGCTTCTTAAGCTCCATATTGTTTGTCCGTCATTTTAATGACCTGGATAACATTTTCAAGGGTGATTTGCTGTTAGAAAATGAATTAATTTATTAACATTTTTATCGCTTCATCAGGCGCTTTCGTTAATATTTTGATTATCAAAGAACTCATTAAAATCCACACGGTATTTTAGATTTTGGGATAGTTTTCGGAATTCATTTGTAGTATATTAATTTAAACCGTTTAAATATATATATATATATATATACATATATATATATATATATATATATATATTAACGGGTGTGTGTAAAAGCATTATATATCGTACTATTCGGACAAGTCGATAAATTGTTATGCTTTTCAGGTGATAGTTTGAGGAAACGTTTGGGAGACTCGGTCCGATCGAAATTCGAGTTTCTTATGAATTGAAGGGGACTCCACGAACCTACTATCACTGCAAACTACCCTTGTATTGCAAAAGGGTCTAAAGTATCCTCCAGCGTTGTCGCTCGAATTCCCTTTAAAAGTGGAGAAATTTGTGGCCTTAAAAGTGGGAGTCTACATTGTGGTCAAGTTTTCCCAATGATAGTCGAGTAAAAATAGAGATACTCTCCATGATAGGTCCAGCAGGGCTAGATGGTTGAAACTAATTAAAGTGCTTAACTTCTGCCAGACATCTCCAAAATTCACCCAAATCGAGCTATTGCATCTTTTTAGGAGGCATTTGCTTTCATATTCCCTCTCCACAATTTTAATTAGGTGCATTCAATTTGTAATGAGAGGATTAGTGATACTCTCAATTACTAGCATCCGTGATTGCGCCTTAAAAAAGTGGGTGATTAACTTACTTATTGATCATCGTCCTCTCCCCCTCCAACCTCCTTTTCACTTGATAACTACAATTTGCATCGGCCTTACCAACTTGATATTTTCCCATTGGGTCTGATTGATAGCACAACTGTGGGATTGTATTAAGTGAATTTTAACATGACGGGTGGTGGTGCTTAATTAGAGGAGAAGGGTAGGGAGAGGAGGAGGG